CTCACAGAGTCCACCCACAATGTCGCAAACGGCAAAATGTCCTTCTTTCTCATGGCCAAATAATATCCCATTGTTTCTATATACCACATCTTCTTTATCCATTCATCCATTGATAGGTACTTTGGTTGTTTCTAACATTTATTTATTTTTGAGAGACAGAGACAGAGCATGAGTGAGGGAGGGGCAGAGAGAGAGGGAGACACAGAATCCAAAGCAAGCTTTAGGTTCTGAGCTGTCAGCACAGAGCCTGACATGAGAAAACTTACAAACTGTGAGATCATGACCTGAGCCAAAATTGGATGCTCAACCAACTGAGCCACATAGCCACCCCTTGGGTTTTTTCTATAGCTTGAGCACTGTGAATAATGCTGCAGGGAACATGGGAGTGCAGATATCTCTTCACTATTCTAGTTTCATTTCTTTTGAATTTATACTTAGAAGTGGGATTGCTAGATCATATGGTAGTTCTGTTTTCAGTTTTTTGAAGAATTTTCATACTATTTTTCATAGAGGCTGCACCACTGTACGTTCCCACCAACAATGCACAAGGGGTCCCCTTTTTGCATATCCTTTTCAACTTGTTATCTCATGTCTTTTTGATGATAGCCACTCTAACAGATGTAAGATGATACCTCATTGTACTTTTGATTTGTATTTCGCTGATGATTACAGATGTTGAGCACCTTTTCATATACCTGCTGGTCATTTGTATATCTGCTTTGGAGACGTGTCTGTTCAGTTCCTCTGCTCATTTTTAAAATGTTTTGTTTTGTTTTTGATATTGAGTTGTATGAGTCCTTTATATGTTTTGGATATTAACCCCTTATAAGATATATGATTTGTAAATATGTTCTCCCATTTGGTAGGTTGCCTTTTTATTTTGTTGATGATTTCCTGTGCAACAGCTTTTTATTTGATGTAGTTTTACTTGTTTATTTTTGCTTTTATTATCTTTGCTTTTGGTGTCAAATTTTTAAAAAATCATTGCTGACATTGATGTCAAGGATTTTACCTCCTGTGTTTTCTTCTAGAAGTTTTATGGTTTTAGGTCTTTTATTCAAGTATTTTGAGTTGGTTTTTGTGTATGGTGTAAGATAGAGGTTCAGTTTCATTGTTTTGCATTTAGCTGTCCAGGTTTCCCAGCACCATTTATTGAAGACACTATTCTTTTTCCATTGTATATTCTTGGCTCTTTTATGGAAAATTAGTTGACTACATATGCATGGGTTTATTTCTGGGCTCTCTGTTATGTACCATTAATTTATGTGCCTGTATTTATGCCAATACCATATTATTTCTGTGAAAAATACCACTGGAATTTTGATTGTATTGAATCTCTATCAAACTGATTTGGGTAGTATAGATATTTTAACAATATTAATTTTTCTAATCATAAACACATAATTTCTTCCCATTTATTTTTGCCTTCCTCAGTTTCTTTCATCAATGTCTTAGAATTCTCAGTGTATAGATCTTTCTCCTCATTGGTTAAATTTATTCTTCATATATCATTCATTTTGATGCAGTTATAAGTGGATTGTTTACTTAATTTCTCTTACTGGCATTTCATTGTCAGAGTAAAGAAACATAACTGATTTTTGTGTATTGATTTTGTATCCTCCAACTTTACTGAATTTTTAGCTCTAACAATTTTTGGTGGAGTTGTTAGGAGTTTCTATCTATTACATGCAATCTGCAAATAGAGAAAGTTTTACTTCTTCCTTTTTTATTTTATTTCCTTTTCCTGACTTATTGCTCTGGCTAGAACTTCTTGTACCATGTTGAGTAAAAATGACAAGAGTAGGCATCCTTCTCCTTTCCTGATCTTAGAAGAGAACCTTTCAGCTTTTCACCATTGAGCATGATGACATCTGTGGGCTTGTCATATGTAGCCTTTATTATGTTAAGGTCTGTTCACTCTGTACTCAGGTTGTTACAAGATTTTATCATGAATCAATGTTAAGCCTTGTGAAATGCTTTTTCTGCATCTATTGAGATGATTGTAAGATTTTTATCCTTCACTTTGTTAATGTGGTGTATCATGTTGATTGATTTGCAGATGTTGAACCATTCTTGCATCCCTGAAATAAATTCTACTTGATCATGGTGTGCCATCTTTTTCATATATTGTTGAATTAGGCTTGCTAACATTGTTGACGATTTTCCATCTATTGTTCATCAGTATATTGGTCTGTTATTTTGTTTTCTTGTCATTGTCCTTGATTGGATTTGGTATCAAGGTAATGCCAGCTTTGTAAAATGGTTTAGAAGTGTTCTGTTTTCTTCTGTTTTTTTGAAGAGTTTGAAAAGGATTGATTCTCAATTTAAAAATATTTGCTAGAATTCACCATGAAGCCATTAGGTTCTGGACTTTGTTGGGAGGGTTTATTATTACTGATTTAATCATGTTATTTGTAATGGGTCTATTCAGATTCTGTATTAGTTCATGATTTAGTCTTGGGAGCTTGTGCGTTTCTAGGAAATTTCTCTTTCTTCTAGGTTGCCTGATTTGTTGGCATATAATTATTCATTTTAGTGTCTCATGATCCTATGTATTTCTGTGGTATCAGTTGTAATGTCTCTTCTTTCATTTCTAACTTTATTTGAGTCCTCTCTCTCTTTTTTTATTCTTGGTCAGCTGAGATAAATGTTTATCGATACTCTTTGCTTTTTCAAAAAAAAAAAAAAACCTCCTCTTAGTTTCATTGATCTTTTCAATTGTCTTTATAGTCTCTACTTCCTTTATATCCACTTTCATCTTTGTTATTTCTCTCCTTCTGCTAACTGGATGCTTAGTTTGTTCTTCTTTTCCTATTTCTTGAGGTGTAAAGTTGTTTATTTAAGTGAGTTTTTTTTTTTCATTATTTAAGCATTTATTGCTATGGACTTCCTTCTTAGAGCTGCTTTTGTTCCATACCATTAGTTTGGGTAGGTTGTGCTTCCATATTTATTTGTCTCATGAAAATTTTAATTCTCTTTTAATTTCTTCCTTTTTAAATTTTTAATGCTTATTGATTTTGAGAGAGAGAAGGAGAGAGCACATGCATAAGTGGGGAAGGGGTAGAGAGAGAGGGAGACACTGAATCTGAAGCAGGTTCCAGGCTCTGAGCTATGAGCACAGAGCCCGATGTGGGGCTCGAACCCGTGAACCATGAGATAATGACCTGAGCCAAAGTTGGATGCTTAACCAACTGAGCCACCCGGGCACCCCGATTTCATCTTATATACATTGGTTTTTCAGTAGCATGTTGTTTATTCTCCACGTATTTGTGAATTTTCCAGTTTTTTTCCTGCAACTGATTTCTAGTTTTATACCATTATGTTTGGAAAAGTTGCTTGAAATGATTTCAATCTTTTTAAAATTTATTAAGAGATGTTTTGTTGTTTAACATGATGTATCCTTGGAGAACATTACATGTGCACTTGGGAAAATGTGTATTCTCCTGCTGTTGGATGGAATGTTTTGCAAATGTCTGTTAAGTCCATCTGTTCTAATGCATAGTGTAAGTTTAATGTTTCCTTAATGATTTTCTATGTGAATGATCTATCCATTGTTGAAAGTGTCAAAACAAGTTGTACTTTGCATTTAATTCATCTGGAAGAGAAAAATACATAAATTAATGGCAAGTACAATATAAAGCTCCATTTTGAATTGGAAATAAATGTTTTAAAATAGTTATGTATAATATTGCCTATTTTACTGCTGCTACTGCCATAGAGAATCAAGGTACTAATCAAGTACAGGGAAAAAAAGATGTGTTGATAGAAACTGCTTTTAAATTCTGCTTCTAGTCACACCATTTTCATCCTTTGACAACTCCTGTTTGCAGGCCCACCATCTTTTCTCACTACAGGTCTTACTTGTGTCTTAATTTGACACTGGGTATAGGGAGGAAAAAAAATCTCTCCTGAGAAATGTATAAAGTTGGTAGTCATGGAATTTTAAAGTCTGAATTCATATTACCCATGTGGGACAAAGAACTTCAAGCAGTTAGTTTCATTTATAGGGAATGGATTGATTATGCCACCAGATGACTGGCTAAAATGAAGGCACACCCTCTCTGAAAAAACTAAAGTATTGACAGTTATTGACAGTAACTGTACTATACCAACAGTCAATAGATGCTCTTGACTTCCCAAATGCCAAAATGTGAAAAAATGTGAATTTCAGATTATTTTGTCTATAGAAGTTATGACAATTTAATGAGATAACTCATGCAAACTGTCTAGAACAGTGCTTTGAAAGTAGTAAGCTACCATAATTATCCTCATCATCACTTTCCAGCTTTATTTGTAATAACCACAAATTTTTATTATAATAAATCAGACCTACTCACCTTTCTCCAAGCACTCATTTCTTTTTTTTATTTTTGTGGTTTGTGCTGGATGAAATGAGAAAGTATTTTTCTGAGTGTAAAATAATGAACATTATCATTATTGTCATCATCATCATCATCATGCTACCCCCAACATAACTGCATACCCTTTTTTAAAAAAAAAAACAAAAAAAAAACAGGATTTCCTATTCTGTAAAACCGAAGAGTTAGACTGCATAATTTAAAAAATTTTTTGTTATGGCAAATGTTAGGCCTGTACAAAAGTCTTTAGAATAGTTCATTCCTAAGCAAAAATACTTATTAAATCATGGTCAGTATATTCCCTCATATTTATGCCTTCTACCCTAGACTATTCCCAGGCATCATATTCTCTTAGGCCTAATAATTTTTGTATACCTTTCTATCTCTACAAGTTTATAATAAACCCAGAAATTCAGGGAACCCTGCTGTAAGTCTTGGTTATTAACAGGCATTTTTCTCCTCTCCCCCCAAGCTAAGTAAAATGAGCCTAGATACTGCTCTACTATTTAGTTAATACTTGTACATTGACTTCTACTTCCAAACTTGATGGAGTAACAGGGAACAGATTACCCTCCCAACTGAATAACAACAGCAAGGACAAAATATATAAACATCAATTTTCAAGATACTAAACATCAAATAATGTTTGTGTTGAAGGACTGTGATCCCCAGGTTATGGAAAACATGCAAGGTAAGACTCGCTTGTCCCAGCTTGCTGCTGTGGGAGAGTTTCCAGCATATGGCACAGAGAAGAAGCCAGGCAGATAGCCTGAGGTGAGATGAAGCTGAATCCAGGGAGACGAAGATGGCTAAAGTTCATAGGATGGAGTAATGAGGAGAGAGAGATGGATAGAGATAGATCTAAGCAGATTTTCAAAGATCCTCCTTGAGTATTCAGCAGAGGATTTATCAGTTAATGCGTGTCAGAAAACCGCCTGGGGCTGGGGACGAAACCAACTAAAAGGATTAGAGGAAGCAGTAACTACTGCCTACACACAGCCAGAAATGGTGCCTATTCTCACAAACCAGACTGAAAAACCTCATAATTTACTGGAAGAAGTGGTCAGAAAATTTTTCTTTCAGTGGCATCAAACTGTTTCTAAGTAACAACATAACAAAGTTCAAGAACACTTATGGGAATTCAAAAATATACCTAGCACCCAACAAGGTATAATACGTAATCTACAGCATCTAATTAAAAATTACCAGACATGATAATTTTTCTGCTCTCTTTAAGAGTAGGAAAACTCAGTCAACACGCACACATATGCGCGCGCGCACACACACACACACACACACACAGACACACACGTGTGTGTTCATGCATGCACACATCACAAACACAATTGCAGTTCCCCAAAGGAAAAGAGAGATGGAAGAAATATTTGAAGAAATAGTGTCCAAAACTCTTCCAGATTTGCTGTAACCTGTAAAACCAAAAAGCTTAGTAAACCCAAGCACAAGAAACAAGAAGGACACCAAAGCATATCATAACTAAGTTACTCAAAACCAGTGATAAAGAGAACATCTTAAAAGCAAACAGAGGGGGGAAAAAAGACACATTATGTAGAGAAGAAAAAAGGTAAAAAGATGAGAACAACAGCAAATTTCACATCAGTAATAATATACCAGAGAAACTGTGGAGGACTAAAAGAAAAACATTAAAAAACTGTCTGCCTATCATTTTATACACACTGAATGTATATTTTACAAATGAAAGTGAAATAAATATTTTCTTAGACATAGAAAACTGAAAGAATTTATTACCAACAGGCTATAAAATTTATTACTAACACACTCTAAGATATAAAAGGAAGCCCTTCAGGCAAAAGGAAAATGATGCTAGATGGAAATATGGAAATCTACAAACAAAAAATGAACTATACCAGAAATGGTAACTACATAAATAAATATATGAGTTTTTTTCTTATTATTAAATGTCTTTAAAAGATAATTACTTAAACAAAAATAATAAAAAAATAGTGTGGGATTTATAAAGTATGTTCATGAAAAATGTATGACAATAATAGAACCTTAAAATAGGTTCTTAAACTTTGTAAAGTGGTATAATATCCCTTGAAAGTAAACTGTAATAAGTGATTGAGGGCTACTATAAACCCAAAAGCAACTAAAATGACAAAATAACATGCCACCAAAAGAGAACAAAAATGGAGTCATCAAAATGTTTAACTGATCCAAAAGAAAGGAAAAAAAGAGGGAAAAGAGAAGATGGAATAAATAGAAAGCAAATAGCAAGATTAGAAGTCAATCTAACACAAAGTATCACATTAAATATAAAAGGTCTAATCACTCCTATTAAAAGACAGAGACGGCCAGATTGCATGAAAAGCAAAACACGACAATATGCCACCTACAAGAAAATCACATATTAAATGTAAAATTTCAAACAGATTGAAAGGAAAAGAATAGAAAAAAGATAGCTAACAGAGATCAAAAGAAAGCAAGAGTGTTTCCATTAATGCCAGACAAAATACATTTCAGAACAGAAATATTAGTAGTGATAAAGGAAGTGATTTCTTAATGATAAAAAGATTGATTAATTAATCGGGAACACATAATCTTAAGTTTATGTATCAATATCAGCTTCCAAATGCATGAATTAATAAATTAATAAAATTCCTGTCTATTTAAATATTTTTTAAGTTTTTATATTCATCCTCACTTGCATTTTGCCTTTTAAGTTTTAAGTTCATAGACTTTATTTTCGGGGGACAGTTTTATATTTACAAGAAATACTGAACAGAAAGTATAGAGTAACCCCTCAGCCTTCCTCTTGTATTAGTGGGTACATTTGTTACAACTGATGAGCCACTATTGATACATTATTAACTAGAGCCCATAGTTTATATTAAGATTTGCTGTGTGTTGTATATTCTCTGGAGTGGGGGGGGGGGGGCATGTGAATGTGTGTGTGATTTTTCTTGAATTGAGTTTTGATAAATGTATCCACATTTATCATACTATATAGTTTATCTACTGCTTTAAAAAATTCCTGTGGTCCACCTATTCATCCCTCCTCCAATGTTCCCTCCGGCAACCACTAACTTTTTTTTTGTCTCTACAGTATTGCCTTTTCCAAAATGTCATATAATTACAGTTGTATAGTATGTAGCCTTTTTAGAATGGCTTCTTTCACTATGTTATATGCATTCAAGTTTCCTGTGTGTCTTTGTGGGTTATACTCATTTTTTTGTTGTTAGATAATATACAATTGTCTGGATGTGCTCAGTTTGTTTATCCACTCACCAACCAGAGGGCAGGATTGCCAGATTCTATGATTGCAGTATGTTTGTTTTGTTGTAAGAAACTGTCAAACTTAAATAAATTTTAAAAAAACATTTAAAAAAATTTTTAAAAAGGGGGGGCACACCTGGGTGGCTCAGTTGGTTAAGCATCCACCTTCAGCTCAGGTCATGATCTCACAGTTCATGGGTTCGAGCCCCATGTCAGGCTCTGTGCTGACAGCTCAGAGCCTGGGGCCTGCTTCAGATTCTGTATCTCCCTCTCTCTCTGACCCTCCCCTGCTCATGCTGTCTGTCTGTCTGTCTCTCTCTCTCTTTCTCTCTCTCTCTCAAAAATTTAAAAAAAAAAAACATTAAAAATTTTTTTAAAAACTGTCAAACTGTCTTCCAAAGTGGCTGCATCATTTTGCATTTGCACCAGCAGTGAATGAGAGCTGCTGTTTCTCCACATCCTCACCAGCATTCGGTGTTGTTGGTGTTTTTGAATTTTAGCTATTCTAATAGGTATATAGTAGTATCTCATCATTATTTTAATTGCTTTTTAGTTTTAGTAGATGGCTTTAATATATAGTTTTTAACATTATTTAGTATTTTGAAGTTTTTAGCATTTACATTAATTTACATTTTTTATAAAGGTAAATTTAAATTTGAATATCATTACTGTACTACATATTGTGAGGTTGAAGTACATATTTTATTCAACAGTTTAACTTCATTTGTAATCTTAAGATATTTAGATATATGGAATGGTGACATCTATTTGGATATTTGCCTTGGGGCAGTCCTGTTTGGGGCAGAGGGTCACAATTGCTAAGAATCAGCACTTAACAATTGTGCTGATTGAGGTTATGAGGGCACTTGTGGGGATGAGCACTGGGTGTTATATGGAAACCAACTTGACAATAAACTATTAAAAAATAAAATAAATTTTAAAAATGGGCCAACAAAAAAAAAAGAATCATTGAGAAGTTGTGGACGGTCTCAGTAGAAATATGTGCATACACAAATATAGGCAAAATTTTGTATGCCTTTCAGGGATTCACAGACTTCTAAGACTCATTCATGTATTCATTCATTATAGGTCAGCAACCCTTGCTCTGAATTTCTGACACATTACTCCCATTCAGTTTCCTGAAAGCACAGTCCCAAGATGGTCATCCTCTTACATCTTCCTTCACACTCCTCCAGGGGCATCCAGTTCTTTAAGCAAAAATTCCTTCAGCCTGCTATAAAACATTCAGCACTTCTTTCTTTATGCGGCCATCACTGAAGTTCCAGTGGCCAAAATTAAGTTCAGTCCCTCTGTGATTTCTGACCGGATCAAGAACCATAGAAGGCATTTCAGTGCACCTTACCACATTTGCAGAGAGATTATATTTTCCCCTCTTTCCAAAAAGCTGAGTCAGAAGTACAACGTTGGACCCATGGCCATCTGGAAGGACGATGATGTACAGGTTGTGCGAGGACCCTACAAAGATTGGCAAATTGACAAAGTAGTCCAGGTTTACAGGAAGAAAACTGCCATCTGCATTGAACAAATACAGCTAGAGAAGGAAAGTAACACAACTGTTGATGTGACCATTCACCCCAGCAAGGTGGTTATCACTAGACCGAAAGTGGACAAAGACCACAAAAAGATCCTTGAATGTAAAACAAAATCTCACCAAGTAGTAAAGGAAAACCACAAATATAAGGAAGAAACAATTGAGAAGATGCAAGAATAAAGTATTCTTTTTTTTTTTTTTTTTTGGCGGGGTGCCAGGATACCCTATCAGTGCCCAGAAACCTGGATTTTTTTTTTATTTCTAGGAGAGAGAGAGAGACAGCGTGAGCAGGGGAGGGTCAGAGAGAGAGGGAGTCACAGACTGAAACAGGCTCCAGGCTCTGAGCTGGCAGTCAGCACAGAGCCCGACGCGGGGCTCGAACCCACGAACCGCGAGA